GGGGGATCTGGGGTGGGAACCGGGGAGCACCAGGACACGGGGCTGGGGGGGACCAGGTGACCTGGGAGTGGGGAACGGGGAAGGGATGGGGGCCCCTCCGGGGGCCCGAGGTGGGGGGAGAAGGAGTGAAACCGGGGGGTGCGGGGTCCCCAGGGAGGGACAAGGGTGGGGGGGTGAGGGCAGCCCCGGGGGGGCCGTCCCAGCGGGGCCGTGCGGCAGGGCCCCGGAGAGAGCGACTACTCGGAGCCCTTCGAGGCAGAGCCGGAGCCGGCGCCCGAGCGCGGCTGCGAGGAGGCCGCCGAGGCCGGAGGTGGGTGCGGGACGCGGCCAGAGCCGGAGCCGGTGCTGGCGTCAGAGCCGGTGCTGGAGCTGGTGCTGATGCCAATGCTGGAGCTGGTGCTGGAGTCAGTGCCAGAGCCAGTGCTGGAGCTGGTGCCAGTGCTGGAGCCRGTGCCGGAGCCAGCAGCCGACGCGGGGTGTCCGGTGGCCCCGACGTCCCCCAGCGCTGTCCCTGCGCAGGGCGCGCGGGGCGGCGGGGGCGGCCGCGCCGGGGCCCCCAGCTCTACGACACCCCGAGCGAGGAGTGGGAGGTGGGCGAGGAYGCGGGGCCGGGCGCCGCTCGCGACAGCCGCCTGCCCCGCGACGACGAGCGGCCCGCGGACGAGTACGACCAGCCCTGGGAGTGGAAGAAGGAGCACATCTCCCGGGCGTTCGCAGGTGCCGGCCGCGGGCGCTGGGGGCACCCCGGGCCTAGAACCCCAGGGGGAACATCCTGGGCACATCCCAGCCCAKCATCRCCCCTAGGTGCCATCCTGGGGACATCCCAGGCACAGTGTTCCCTGGTACCCATGGGTACCACCCTGGGCACATCCCAGCCCAKCATCACCCCTAGGTGCCATCCTGGGGACATYCCTGCYGCAGTGTTCCCTKGCACCCATGGGTACCATCCTAGAGACATCCCTGTCCCSCAGCACCTATGGGTAGCCCCTTGGGGGGGTGATGGGACGTGGTGGGGACATCTGGGCTGCCTGCGCTCTGSTGGCCGTGCGGGGGTACCGGGGCGCCCAGGCCAGCGGGTGACGGTCCCTTTGTCCCCGCAGTGCAGTTCGAGAGCCCCGAGCGCTCCCCCGGGCGCCCCCGGGAGCCGCCGCGGCCCCCCGGCGGTGCCAGGCCCGGCTGCCCGCCCAGCCCGGGCCGCGTGGACCCCTCGCTGCCCCTGGAGAAGCAGGTGTAAGTGGGGACCCCGACCGCGGCCACCTGCCCTCCTGCACGGGGGACACGGGCTCCTCTGGGCACCGTGGCGAGGAGGGCGCCCCATGGCATCGGGGGGGGTCCTGTGGTGCTTGGGGTGGGGGGGCCACAGTGTGGATGGGTCCCCACGGGGTGATGGGTGCCCCATGGGGAAGAGGGTGTCCCATGGCACAGACAGGTCCCCATGCCGTGATGGGTGCCCCACGGTCCAGGCTGTGGCCTAGGCTGGTCCCCAGGGTGCAGATGTGTCCCCATGGCATGGACGGGTCCCCATGGTGCAGACGGAGCCCCATGGCCTAGGATGGGCGTCACCTGGCATAGGCTGGTCCCCAAGGTGCAGAGAGGACCCTGTGGCACAGAAGGGTCCCCGTGGTGCAGACGGAGCCCTGCACAGACGGGTCCCCAGGGCGTTGCTGGAGCCCCTTGGCACAGCTGGAGCCCCGGTGCCCTTGTCCACCCGGTGCTGAGGCCCCGAGGGTGACCCCGGGTGACCCCGGGTGACCCCGCCTGCCCGCAGGTGGTACCACGGCGCCATCGGGCGCGCGGGCGCCGAGACGCTGCTGGCTCTGTGCCGCGAGGGCAGCTTCCTGGTGCGCGACTGCGAGACCAGCCCCGAGGACTACTCGCTCTCGCTGAGGTCAGCGGYGCGGGGCCGGGCGCCGGGGGCGGCGGGGGCGCCCGCCGGGCCCCGCTCAGCCGCCCCCCGCGCCCGCAGGAGCAGCCAGGGCTTCGTGCACGTGAAGCTGACGCGGACGCGCGAGCGGCACTTCGTGCTGGGCCGCGCGGGCGCCGCCTTCCCCTCGGTGCCCGCCGCCGTGCGGCACTACTCGGCGCGCGCGCTGCCCGTGCGCGGCGCCCGCCACCTCTCCCTGCTCTACCCGGTGGCCGCGCAGAGCCTGTGACGGGACCCCCGGGACCCCCATTAAAGTCCCCTACCCTGTGCGGGCCGTGCCGCTGGCTGCCGTGGGCTCTGTGTGCGCCTTCCCGGAYGCCTGGGCCCCCGGGGGCCACCCAGACCGCAGCGGGTGCTGAGCCTCCGGTGCCAGCGCCGGAAGGCGACGCACAGGAAACATGGATGAGGTGGCAGATGGTGGAAAACATCTTTTCTTTCTGAGAATGTTTTCTGCACCCGTGACCCTGGGTGATCCGAGATACGGGCACGTCCCGCCTGCCAGCTCCTGTGCCAAAGTGCCCCTCAAATGCAAGCGGGGCCATCGCCGGCGGGGTGGGCACCCTGTGCGGCCCCTCAGCGCCAGGCCTGGGGGRGTCCGGGGGGCCCGGGGGGCGCAGGGTGCCCGGGCGGCCGCAGCTGGTGGCTGKTGTTGAGGGCCGCAAACAGGGGCAGCTCCGTGGGGCGCTGCGCCGCGCAGGGCACCGTGTTCCCGTACACAGCAGTGCCTGGAGGGGCAGGGGGGCAGGGGTGTTGGCCCCCCCACCCAGCGTCTCCCTTGGGTGCCCCCATCCCTGTGGGTGCAGCGGGGACAGGGGGACATGGCGGGGGGCTGGGGTGGGTCACCTGGCGGGTATTGGGGCAAGGGGATGATGGGCAGGGGGTGTCTGGGCAAAGGGCTGGTGGTCACGGGGGGATTGGGGCACAGGGAGATGGGCTGGGGACACCGCGCACGGGGGGGCAGCTGGTGCTGGGGTGGACACGGGRTGGGTGGACATGGGGGTCGGTCGTGGGGGTGCTTGGGTGCAAGGGGTTGGGGTGCAGGGGTATTTGGGTGCAGGGACATTGGGGACCRGGGACATTGAGGCACAGGGACATTGGGGAGTAGGGACACTGGGGAGCAGGGACATTGGGACATGGGGACATCGGGGTATGGGGAGTGGGGACATTGAGGCATGGGGACATTGGGGAGTGGGACATTGGGGAGCAGGGACATTGGGACATGGGGACATTGGGGTATGGGGAGTGGGGACATTGAGGCATGGGGACATTGGGGAGTGGGACATTGGGGAGCAGGGACATTGGGCCACGGAGACATTGGGACACTGGGGCATTGGGCCCTGGGGACACCGGGACACAGGCACCCTGGGGCACYGGGGCAGGTGGGGGCGTTACCGGCGCTGCTGGAGCGGCGCCAGCGGTACCAGCCCAGCAGCGAGCCCAGCAGCAGCAGGAGGGCCGAGCCGGCCCCGGCTAGCGCCCTGGGCAGCCCTGCAGGMGCCCGCGGCTGAGCCCGGCGCAGCGGCACCCGGGTGGAACCGATTACCCACCACGGGGACAAGGCGGGACCCAGTTACCAACCCGTGGCGACGGGGGGACCTAGTTACCAACCTCTGGGGACCTGGGAGATCCAAATACCCACCCATGGGGACAGCGGGACCTGTGTACCCGCCCATGGGGATGGGGGAAACCCAATTACCCACCACGGGGATGGAGGGGACCTGCCTACACACCATGGGGGCAGAGGGGACCCAATTACCCACCCATGGGGACAGAGGGACCCACCTACCCACCCATGGGGACCTGGGTCACCCACTTACCACCCACGGGGATGGGCGGGACCCTCTTACCCACACACGGGGACATTGGGGACCCTCTCACCCACCTGAGCAGCTGCTGGGGACCCTCTTGCCTACCTGAGAGCACATCAGGGACCCCTGAGGGGACACCAGGGTCCTTCATACCCACCTGTGTTCAGACGAGGGGCCTTCTTATCAACCTGGTCTCCTCTATTGACRGCCACTGCGAGCGCAGCAGAAGGGCAGTGAGGGCAGTGGCACCGCCGCCGTCCCYGTCCCCGCGGTGCCACCTACCCACGCGGAGCCAGCTGCCCCTGCCGGGGGCCGCGGGCAGGCCGGCGCCGGCGGCGCGGCACACGTAGCGGCCGCTGTCCGCGGGCTGCACGGCGTAAAGGCGCAGYGTGGCGTGGGGCCAGCGCCAGGCTAGCTGCGCGTGGGGACCGCAGGCGACGCTGGCGGCCGCGCCGGGGTCCAGCTGGGCGCCGCACAGAGCCCCGCGGGCCCCGTCGCGGAGCCACTCGAGGCGCAGCGGGTGCCGGGGCCTCGCGGCCGCCACGCGGCAGTGCAGGGCCACCGTGGCCCCCGGGGCCGCCAGCACGTGGGGTGGCTCCTGCATCACCCACGGGATGCGCGGCGGAGGGAACGGCGGCCTGCTCCTCCTCTGGGTGTCCCGCTGGTTGTCCCCGGGCAGGGACACGATGAAGGTGCCCCTGGGAGGGGGCCGTGTGGCTCCGCTTGCCTCAGGTGTYGCCCGTGGGGAGGGCGACGTGGTGGCACCTGGGACGAGGGCACATGTGGGGATGGAGACATGGAGGTGTCCTGGGGAAGGGGGTCCCCAGGGTGTCCCCCGTGGGGATGGGGGCGCCAGGACACCCCTCATGGGCACAGGGCCCCAGAGCCCCTCAGGGGGGCCCCGAGTGTCCTCCCCTGCTGTCACCTCATGACACAGGTGCCTCCCTCCGCCACCAGTCTGCCTGTCCCCACCCTGTCTCCCAGCCACGTGCCCCTCCACATCCCCGCCGTCTCCATCCGCTCCTGGCACTATCAGTCCGTCTGTCCCCAGCCCATCCCCACAGCCCCTCTCCAGCCGCCAGGACATTGTCCCCCCGGTCCCCAGGGCGCTGCCAACCGCGGTCACGGGGCAGTGGGGAGGCTCTGTCCCCCACACCCGTCTCACCGGCGAGGAGGAGGAGGAGGCCCCACATCCCGGTGCCCGGGCGGCTCCTCCTCGTGGGCTCCCGTCACGGAGGTGTCCTGGGCGCCGCAGTCCCCAGAGAGGCCTCGCCYGTCACCCCCGCCAGCCCCGCGTGACGTGGCGGCTTCCTGCCGCCGCGCTGCCACCGCCGCCCTGGGGACGCCCATGGGGACAAGCGGCAGGCGCACGGATGTGGATGGCGTTGGTGACAGAGACCACGCACGAGGACGGGGACATGAACCTCAGCGTGTACATGAATGGAGAGGAGGGCATGGATGGGAAGAGGGATGGGGACAAGGCCATGGATGGGGACAAGGATGGGAACACGGACAGGGCCATGGATGGGGACCGTGCCCCGAAGCGGGGGGAGGGCGTGTCTCGCCAGGACTACATTTCCCAAGATGCACTGGGGCGGGGGGAGGGGCGGTATCCTGGGACTACATTTCCCATCGTGCCTCGCGGCCTCCCCAGGACTACATCTCCCATGGTGCCCCGGGCGCGTCCCGGACTCGCTTTCCCGGCGCCGCCGCTCCCGCTTTGTTGGTGCCCGGGGCCGAGCGGCGGCGGGGCCGGGGCCGGCCCGGTATGGGCGACCAGGTGGGGCCGCGCCGGGCCGCGCGGGACGGGTGCGGGGCGCGGCGCTGAGAGCAGCGCTGCAGCGAGCAGGGATGGAGAGAGCAGGGGCGGCAGGCGTGGAGAGAGGGATGCAGGGATGGAGAGAGGGAGGGATGCACGGAGAGAGGGAGGGGAGCAGGGATGCACGGAGAGAGGGAGGGAGAGAGAGAAGGATGGAGAGAGGGAGGGGTGCAGGGATGCATGGAGAGAGGGAGGAAGGAGGGAAAGAGGAAGGAGGGGTGGAGAGAGGAGGGATGGAGGAAGGGAGGATGGAGAGGGAAGGATGGAGGGATGTAGAGAGTGGGGGGTTGGAGGGAGAGGGTGGAAGAAAGAGGGGAGCAGGAGGGAGGGGCTGAGGGGGGCAGGATGGGGCGGGGAGGGGAGGGAGAGTGAAGGGAGGAGGGATGGAGGGAGGAGGGACCGAGGGATGAAGGATGGAGAGGAGGGATAGAGGGAGGAGGGGGGCAGGATGGGTGGCCAGAGGACGCAGCCCGGGGCGGGGGCCCTAGGGCTTCCCCCAAGGAAGGTCCCCAAGGGGGCTCGGGGCTGGGGCCGGTCCTGGGCGCCGGCAGTGCCCGCTCGCCAAGTCACGGCCGGACGCCGGGGCCCCTGGGGCGCCTGGCACATGCCGGGCGGCGGGGAGGGGCTGCCGGGGGCGCTGACGGCGGCGCCGGCGCAGGAGGCGCTGCGCAAGATCATCACCACGCTGGCCGTGAAGAATGAGGAGATCCAGAACTTCATCTACGCCCTCAAGCAGATGCTGCAGAATGTGGAGGTACCCGCAGCCTTCGGCCTCGCGCCGCCCCCAGCGCATTCGCAGCCTGCTGGGGCTCGCTCCCAACCGTCCCGGGGGTCCCCATCGCAGGGGACACCCCCTGCGGCACGGGGGGGTCTCTGCAGTCACTGAGGACGTTGGGGTGTCCCCAGGGGGGACGTGGGGAGGGCCGGGGGGCGCGGGCGGCGGCGCGGGGGCCGCTCTGACGCGCGGCGGCGCCGCCAGGACAACTCGGCCCGCGTGCAGGAGGACCTGGAGGGCGAGTTCCAGTCGCTGTACGCGCTGCTGGACGAGCTCAAGGACAACATGCTCATGAAGATCAAACAGGACCGCGCGAGCCGCACGTACGAGCTGCAGGTGAGCGCCGGGGCGCGCGCCCGGCCCGCCGCCGCCGCCACCCRCTGCCGCGCTCTCCCCCTCAGGCCCAGCTGGCGGCTTGCGCCAAGGCCCTGGAGAGCTCGGAGGAGCTGCTGGAGACGGCCAACCAGACCCTGGAGACCGCCAACAACCACGACTTCCCCCAGGTGGGCGCCCGCCCGCTGCCGCCCGCCCCGGCGGGCGCGAGGCCTCCGCTCCCCCTCGCCCCTCACGGCTGCGCTTGCCCCAGGCGGGCACCTCTGCTCTCTTTCCAGCCTGGGCACCCTGTTAACGCTGGGCTGGCTTCGCCCGCTGCAGGACTAGATTAGGACCGGGCAAGTGGGCACCGGCTAGAGCACCCGGCGCCGAGGAGGAGGAGGGTTAACGCAGTGAGGGGGGCTGGGTGGTGGGTCCTCTCGCTCGTGCCCGCTGTCTCCTGTGGGCACTTGGCTGTGTGGGGTCCCATGGGTGCTGCAGCAGGGCAGGAGGTGGTGGCTCTGTGCTGGGTGCTTGGGCACACGGTGCCACGTGCTCTCGGTGGCAGGCGCCGGGCACGCGGCGCTGCGCGGCTTCCAGAGCAGGGCGCTGCACCACGCTGGCTCCCGGCGCTGCTGTCTCACCCCCTCTTTTCTCCTCTTTCCCTCCGCGCTCCCAAGGCTGCCAAGCAGATCAAGGATAGGTACGGTACCGCCGTGCCCGCACTAACCCACCCGCGCGCCGCGTCCCCCCGTCCCCGCGCGCGGGCGCCGCGGGCTCCGCGCCC